TGCAGGGACGAGAGGAACGGTTCAGCTCGGTTCAGTGTGTGGATCAGGGGCACGGCCAGACTGTGAACCTTCCCTGCCAGAAAGGAACTCACAGCTTACGCTGCGAGTGAGTCGCGGTGCTGGTGGGGAAGGTTTGCTCAGGCCAAGGTGCAGAAATGAGGCGGTTGAACTGAAAAGCGCAAGTACAGCCGCCAGGCGTGGGAACGCCGGCCTGGCTTGGAGAGGGCGTAACGCAGGGAGAGTAGGCAGTGTCACCAGCGCTGGTGTGGGGTACTCCTCTGAGGATTTGGGAGGAAAAACTACCATTTCTCTTAACAAATCTTAACTTTTGTTGCTTTGGGAGTTGAGCTAACACACGCTGACTGGCCCAGGCCACTGCGTTAGTGGTGCTGCTCGTGCCGCCCTTGTGGCAGTCCCGCAGCCACCACCTGTATTCCACGGGTGTGCCTCGCTGCTTGGGCCTCAAAACCCAAATCGTTTTATTATTCAGTGCACTGGGTGGAAAAGCGACTTTTTAACCCTTTCACGGCACGCACGTGCCAGGGCTGCCGCTGGCAGAGGGGGCGGCGGCGGGCGGCGGCTCGGAGGAAGCTGACCGTCCTCTTCTCCTTGCAGTTCGTTCACATCAACAACCTGAAACTCATCTGCAGGGCGCACCAGCTCGTCCACGAGGGCTACAAGTTCATGTTTGATGAGAAATTGGTAACGGTATGGTCTGCTCCCAATTACTGCTACCGCTGCGGGAATATCGCGTCCATCATGGTCTTCAAGGATGTAAATACGAGGGAACCAAAGCTCTTCCGCGCAGTTCCAGACTCAGAGCGCGTCATTCCCCCCAGAACAACCACGCCCTATTTCCTCTGAGGCCCCTCCCGCCTGCTCTCCCCCTCCTCCCTTCTATTGTCCCTTTACAATATACTTTTTATGGAGCACTTTGCTGCTGAAATGCTGCCTCTTGCCTTTTTTATTTTTAAATTATCTAAATTTATTGTGTATTGTGGTGTCTGTAGCACGTTTCCTTTTCCCCTCCCCTAGGTTAATTTCAGAGTATTTGTAATACGTCCCTGACATTCACACGGCCGCATGTAGTTCTTGGTGTTTCGGGGGTGGAATGAAACTTTCTCCTGTGCCCGACGGCGGTGCCCGGGGCACGGCCCGGTCCCCG